ATATTTAGGTTTTTAATATAATAACAAATATCAGACTTTACAGAAATTGTTAACAGAATGGGCAGGAAGTTGGAGTTGCCATGGTTACGCCTGCAAACAGATGAAAGGGTTTTTGAATTATTGGGCATTGGAACGTTTGGAAAGAGAGGCTGTGACCTTTAGAGATATCATTAACACCGTTATCATTGATACTAAATCCACTGCTGCATTTACAATATTTAGGTTTTTAATATAATTACAAATATCAGACTTTACAGAAATCGTTAACAGAATGGGCAGGAAGTTGGCGTTGCCACGGTGACACTTTAGACAAATTAAAAGGTTTTTCAATTTCTCGGGCATTGGAACATTTGGAAAGAGAGGCTGTGGTAATGGGGCCTTTAGAGATCATTAACACCGTTATCATTGATACTAAATCCACTGCTGCATTTACAATATTTAGGTTTTTAATATAATAACAAATATCAGACTTTACAGAAATTGTTAACAGAATGCATAATGTGTCTAATTATTAAGGTGTCCAGTCTCTTTAAGGGCCCCTCACTAAAGCCGTTTTATGTAAATGTCTCATTAGTGGCTAGCAAAGAAAAGCCAGGACGACAAACGGGGGGTTTCAGAACTTTTTCCAAAGGTCTGGGTGGAAATAATTCCCATCGGTGTGGATTTTTAAAGGATCTGGAGCCTGTCAAACACTCAATTAATCAATTAGAAGCAGAGGCTTTCGTTTGGCATTTTATGGAGGATGATTTTTTTAGTTTAGTTGTGAAGAGTTCCAGCAATTTAACTTTAAAATGGACATCTCGTCTTACAATATTAATGTGTCAAAACAAAAACAAACAAAAAAAAACTTGCTCGAAAACATCCGTGAACAAACATGTCCCCAATTTCTGATGAAGCTAGTATTTTTATAATGGATACTTTAATAAATCCGTCGAGTTTAGAGTCTAGTCTTACGTTTTCTCAGACCCCTTAATGTGTTGAATGCCATGTCACACATGGTGGATTTAAATTCTGATTGCTCAGAATCGAGTCTCTTGCGTGGACAGTTAATTAATTTGTGTTTTTGTCCCTCAGAGTGAAGATTTGCTCTGGAACGACTACGAGGAGAAACTGAGTGACCAGATTGTTCGAACCATGGAGAACTACACCAGCCAGTTCCCAGAAGTCAAGGTACG